GCAGACGGAGGACTTTTCTGTACAATAGTGGCTCCATTCCCTGGCTGTTGTCCAATCCTGCATGACACACACACACACACACACTTATCCTGTCACTATTAACCATTAAATCTGTCCGAAACGCTGATTATTGCTTCCGTCGTAGAACAATTAGAGGGGACTATTTTTGTCTCTTTGCGGGTGAGGGGGCGAGAGTGGGTGTGGATTAGGGGTTTAGTTTTTTGAGTTTCATATCATGTTGTAGACGATTGAAACGTTCTCGCAGGTACCGAACCATCTTAGAGTCCTGTAAAGATAGAATAGGACAGAGGGTTCAATAGAGGAAGGCTTCTTGGATTGAAATTCCAAAACAACAATCAGCTCACTGGATCCATGGCGTCGAGGTTATGAATCTTCTTGGAAATCTGTCGAAGGTCTTCCTCCGTAGGAAAAGGGCCGAAATCGTCCAAGTCTTCGTCCTCATCTTCGTCAGGCTGGAAAGATTGAAAAAAAGGGAGTCACGTTTTTTGACTACTTTGGCTCCTTGGAGAGGCGAGGTTGGAACGCTGCCAGGAAGACAAAAGATGCTGGATGCTCGAATACGTTTCAATTTGTAGTGGCTTGAATTCAGAGACTACGCTGCAGAGATAAACTGGATCAGTCCCTTATGAGGTGATGTGAGGATGTGAAACTGGGGGGGGGGGGTTAAGTACTTCCACCGATTATCCAGGTCTTCCCCTATTCAACTATCATGACGGCGGCACAAAGTAACTCCCCCCCTCATTAATCTCAAAAACCTCCGATACGTTGACGATGCAGGGCGGGGAGCACTTAACAAGTTTTATTTCCTACGAAAAGGCTAGATGATGTGCACATATAATTCTGAGAAACGAATGGTTGGGACTGTGAGGGCTCATGAAAGAAGGGTCGTCAAAATCACCGACGTCAAGCGTCCATCGATATCCGTCCCTTCAGTAGGCGAAGAAGGCTTCTTAAACCATTAATTGCTAATGCCTAACGCTTACTGAAGTGGGTTTGTCCATCATCCAGGAGGCAAGACGCAGCACCCACTACACACACTTTGGAATGGTGTAACAGTTGGTGTTAGAACTTAGCCCCCCCCCCCCCCCCCACTGCTACTAATTCCAAATTCAGCGACACAGCCGTTCTTGAATCAACCTTGCAATCCTGTAAAGCATGGAGGGAGGGAGCGAGAGAGGGAGGGGCGGGGGTTTTGACTTTAGAAATAGCCGAAGACCTCAATTCCAAATTTTGTGACTGGAATACGGGTGGAGATTTTGAGACAGGAAAGGAGTCAATCATTCAGAAGATATTATGAGAAATTAGAAATGAAGCGAAAGAAGAAAGATTGTGGCCTCATTTATTTTTTATTTATAAGAAGGAAGCCATAGAGGTCCCCCACTTTAATCAAATCACCAAAAAAGTTATGCAAATCGCCTACCTCCCATCCACTGTCATTCATGCCCTCAGGCGAAGTACTGTGTTTCATATGCTCCTTGTAATCAATCAATCCATCACCATTACGGTCCATAACCTCCAGCATCTTTCGTCGCATTTGGACCCTGTATTCGTCCTGCCTTTCTGGCCGATCCTCATCTATTTGTCCAATCTAAAAAAACGGCACGTTTCCAGAGCATGCCATAGGCTAATATGAGGCACATAAGAAATCATAAACCAATGACCTTAAATAACCGATAAAGAGGAAAAAACCATAAAACTATTCAACCTGGGCAGAAAGCATCGCATCTATTTCCTCAGGGTCCCAAACACCGTCCGAGTTCAAATCTATCAATCAGAAGGAGTAGACATAAGAAATAGAAGAGCAGGCACATGGTTGTTACAGAGGTCGACTAACCATGCATTATGAAGAACACTCGCGGATCAAATTCATCTTCGGGCATATCATCTCCTTTTCGCCATTGTTCTCGTTCTTGGGCTCGACTCCCCTGGTAAAATAGGCATGGATTACGTGTCCCAAGATATCAACGCTTCAAAAAGTGGCTTTATGTATCAAATTTGGGTTTAGTTTGCAAAAAGTGTGTCCAAGATTGAGAGACAAAAGTATGCCTTACCGGTTCATGGAAGCGTCCGGGTTTGGGGTGCTTCTTCTTCGCAAGCTCAAAATCATGTTGGACCTTTTCACGAACGGCTGTTGTGTCGTTCACATGGGCCTCCCAGCGTTCCAGTACCTTCATCACTTCAACTTCATTAAGAAAGACAATCTCCTCGCGATCGATGGCATCTTGACGCTCTCGTAGCTAGATGAAAAATAAGCAAAGCCCGACATGATGTAGACTGAGCTGCCCTGACACAGTTTGAATTTTTCTTAAGATTGAACACGGTAATTGATATAGGAAAAAGTGTAATAATAACATACCATTTTTAAGATCGTTTCTACATCTTCAGCAGAGAATTCCGTTGAATTACCAATATCGAGCGCTTTGGCTATGTCTGAGGGAATAGCAACTTTTTCCCCAGCTTCACTATCCCGTTTTAATTTCAGAAGATCAACGAAATAATTTTTTGTTCCATATTTAATTAGGTTTAATTTTTCTCTCACTTCTTTTGAGAGAAGTGATATGTTGACACTGGAGTCGGTCTAAAGATTAGAAAGTACATAAAGTCATGAATAAGAAGAGTTACAAATTTAGCCGTTAACACGTACTTCATGCAGACTCGAAACATGATCTAAGAATTCTGTTGAATTTTCTAGCGCTTTAAAGAGGTTCCCCAGATAATCTCTGAATTCGTCGGAAATCAACTAGTTAAAAGCAAACAGAACACGATCACACACAGAAAAAGCGAAAAAGGTATGCACCGAAAAAACTGCAAGTAATTGGCAAACGCCAAATCAATGCATGTAAAATAAGCAAGGATTTGAAGTCTAGCACGGGAAGATATGTCAAAAAAGGCACTAGGCAAACGGTCTTGAGTTGCAAATTATGCAATGCTTATACTTGGGCTTGTTTGCCTCGAGGTAATGAAGTCTTGTGAACCGGTGCACATTCTATGTCCTGCGCCAAAAAATACAAGCACGTAATGCCAACAAGCAACCTCATATTGGCCAAGAGATTATGGCAAGCGCTTCTGAGTTATGAATGGCACGACCTAGATGGCAATATAGTAAAACACGGCGAACTAACCTTATTACCTTTAATGCTCACTACTTCCTACCCTTGGGAAGCTAGGACTAGCTACGAGGAAAACCATTTTATTATTGATTATGCTGAAAAATTTAGACAAGCCCCAACTACACCGAGATTTCGCACAGGTAACCCGAGACCTCACCGGGCATGCCGCACTTCACCCCAGGAGGCGGGCATCAGCACCACCAACGCGATGAACACTGAGTTCGGCCACCCCCGGAAGGCACCACCAAGAGAACCCACTCCGTACGAGAACACCCGCGCATCAACATCACCAACGTTACAGTGCATACTCAAACAAACTCAATAAAAAATAGAACCAGCGGGTCAAACAAAGGTCCCACACTCATTTCTATACAAGGGATTGTGAGTGGAGGGAAGGGGAATCGGGAAGACTCGACAATCGCTGCCTCGGTTCAAACAAACCTCCGACTTTTAAGCATTAAGATTTCATTCTCCCGCGTCCACTTATCACCAAGAGCCTTCAGTTCCCTCAACCGACTTGCAAATCGGATTGGTCCGCAACTGCTGGCTAATTCACCTAGTCTTTGGAGCTGAGGATCCAAGCGCGATGGCAGCATCGCCTCCAGAGGCTCTCGGGACAGTGACCTCGGCGTCTCCACAGACAGATTTTCTTCCTCAGTTTCTAAATCACAATGTCCCATAGGTACCAAGTCCTCCGCCGACATATCGATTGCCTGTGATGTTGGAAGACTTCCGCCGTAGAGGTGATAAGCACCCGGAGGGAGATTGAAACAACCACTGGCATCCAACGACTGTTGTGGTTGTAGAGGTATCTCGAAGTCGTGCATTGGAAAAACAGATCGGAAGTCATCTAACAAAAAAGAGTGGCAATTCAATTCTTTGTTCTCTTCATAAAACAAAAAACTCACCCTCCAAGAGATTTTGATGCCCGTAACCGTTCGATTGTAGATAGAGCTGAGGTAGGTCATTGTCTTCATCATCATCGTCTTCATCGAATTCGTCGTCTTCGTCCACTTCTTCCTCCTCCACATCTTCATCGACTTCTTCCGAAGCAAGGTTCAAACTCGGAGGGTGTCTGAAGAGACCACTAGGAGACGCTCGAGTGACAGTGTCGAGTTTCACCATCCCCGATGAGAGCGCCAAAGGAGCAGCGTCAGTACCACAAACAGTAGCGCCAATGGATGTGGCAGAAGCAGATGCCACTGCTGCCGCAGCCGCTTCTTCCGCCTCCTTCTCTTTCCGCGTTCGCCGGCGTTTCGGTGGAAAGTGAACCAAATCTGGACGGACCTCGTGATTATGACGGAAGTCGTAACGACGCACGTGAAGTTGGTTGTCTTGGGAGTAGAAGTAGATCTTGCTGCGGCAGCCAATCTTTGAAGTTCTGCGAAGGAGACGAAAGTGGATTTAAGACCTCTTTTAGATGATTATGTCATAAGGTTAAAGCGCAGATTTCGTAGCTGTCCGTGATTCGACCTCTACAACGGCGACACAGAAGCCTTTCTTCTGTGTCTCAGTCATTCTACACAGCAAAAATAAATTCACTTCCTAGCTCGTATGCCTGGCCGCACCACCAGCGGTTACTTCAGAAATAGCTTCTTACGACACAAAGCAACCCCGATTTCATTCGCTAGGAAGTGCGTCGGAATGCAATTGGCAGGAAGCATCCAATATTTACGAGCCGATTTTTTGATCAGCAGTGAAGCAGTACCAGGATTACACAAGCGATTAAACAATAATAAAAACAAAAAAACACTGTAGCCAAGCAAAAGTGGGACGCAGTGAAGCGAATGGGAAATGCGCTGGCCCCATAGCAGCTCCTACAAATCTTTCACGCACTGTTTTTCGATTGTTTGCCAACTTGCAGACCTGTTAGGAGAAACGACTTTGCATTTTTGCAAGATTTTATACCACATGCGACGAATCCCAGCCATAAGAGGATTCATGCACCTCTCCAAAATCCAAGTCATAGTCGTCACTCTGACATTTCACAGGCATGTTTAAATGGACGGTTCGAAAGGTAACGTGGGGCACGAAAGCGGGTAGCAAGGGCCAGGTTGTATCTTGGCTTCCACAGACCAAATGCCTTACTCAAGTTGACTGCCCCAGCTCTTGTCTCCTTGTGCACGAAACACCCAACGGACACGGCTTTAAGACGCTTTCTATGGTAGCTTCTTTCTCACTTCTTTTATAAAAAATCAACAGTTGATATCCATTGACCGCTTGTCGTCCACAAACACCACTGAAATCCAACTTTAGCAACTAAATCACCTGAGCCTGATACACGATTAGCCGAACTACATGCGTACAGGCAAACACAGCCTGCGAGAATCCGGATTCGGCATTTGAAGTGAACCATCCACCCACCTTTCTGCAGCAATACATTCTACCAGTGTCTAGGCGAATAATGCATATAAACAGACTACCGAAAACCCAACTTAATGACCACCCATCCACCATGAAGTTGGTTCCATGCGACAATGAAAGCTAGCACAACTGAGTCCTCTCAAACGTGTTAAGCATAGACTTTGATGGATGGACCCTATTGGATTTTGCACATACCAAGATCGCTTGTTACGTAATTCCCCTTAGTGTGGTAGAAATTGGCCTAGTTGATTCATATGGTCAGCCAGATTAACACATTTCAAGAGATGGTGCAGTGAAAACTCACCTCTGCAGCCTGCGCTGTTTTGCTTCACTGACCTGGTTGCCATAGCGATAACAGATGTATACCAGATGGCTGTATACAAGTGTCTCAGCATATGGCGACCCCAAGGGTAGACGCCGAGTGTTTGTCTTAACATAGCGATTGCCCGTTGCAAGCTGAAACTCCTCCATTTTCGCCTGCAACTCCGCAAAGGAGACAAAGGAGAGGCTGTGGAAAATGCGCAAAAAGTCCGCAGTGGAATCCTGCACCGTGGCAGTGGCGGCAGCGTCGTTCCCAACGGTGCAAGAGGGTGGAGGTGAGAGAGGACGGGGAGGAGGAGGGAGGGACGAGAGGGTTTGGGAATGCGCAGGAGGTGGCACCTCGATCATGGGGTCCATGTGAGCGGGATGATTGTGCTGCATGTCGTAATGGCGCACAAAGAGTTTGTGCTTCCGAGTGCCGACGGAGAAGTAGGCTTGACAGTGCGTCCCACCGGATCTAGAAGCGGGAAGAGAAGTGGCAAAGGCATGGTTGATTAACGTGTGATCTTTCTACGCCCCCCATTGTGAAAACCGCATATTTAGTTAGCTACAGCCAGAACACTCCTGTAGGAAACAAACTGATTGTCCAGACGAATGCTTTTTTGAGGCATCGGTGAAGGGAAAATGTCATTCAAAAGCTGTAAAAGACATTAATAACATTTCACCGCACCGCCACCCATGTAACAGCCAAGCCACATATGGAGATGCCATTCCGCACAATGCGTATTGAAGCATCTTTAGCAAAAACATATAGAAGGTGGGAACAGGGGAAAACTAAAGGTCGTCGTGTTGTCACATGTGTCAGTAATACGTAAAATTCATCGATGCCTGTCCTTTCAAAACTCCAAACCAAACCAGCTGATACGGTTGCGAAAACCGCCTATCAATACAGAAAAAAATTCCATGCGACTTTCGACAAAACTTGCAAACAGGTGAAATACGCACAACTCCTCATATCCATGCGTCGTGAAGCGCAGACATGGACAAATTTGCTCACGAGACAATTTTTTTATCCCCTTTACTACCTTCAGTTTTGAGCCACCATTTTATGAGATGCCGGTTAAACCAGGCAGTTACGATTAGTTTCTTTTCTCTACGAGCCAAGTTAACATCGGTATCGGAGACATGGAGACTTCTAGCCACGTTCGGTAAAATCATCTATCCTTGATAAGAACAGAGATACGCGTTGCTGTTGAAAGTGACATTTGCGGTTACCTTGTCAAAAACAACTTTTAGTTTATGGGTAACATGAGAGGTACTGGAACCACCAATTTGCACCCACATCAACTGGAAAGGGTGATGCCGAAGCTACTAAGCACGTGCATAGCAGGCGACAACAAATCTGGAGGAGCATCATCCCCTTTACAGGAGCATACCCTTTCTAGACTGCTTGCTAACTGATTGACTTGTGACGAGAAACAGTTTTTGTATTTCAATATTCACGAGGTGAAAGAAAATACCGTTGGATAACCTGAACGATTTACCAACTGTTCCACTACCCAACATAAAAATTATTCTGGTTAGTGTGTAAAATGCAGAGGCAATTAATCATCACGACTTGTTAAAGGCCAGGCAACGAGTGAAAGAAAAAGCTTTTATTAAAAAGTAATCAGGACTAGTCACTCAGTCAATGGCAAGAAAGTTCTCCTCTTAAGCTTACAGGGCAACGCAAATCTGAACCGGTAGGATTTGAATTTTGAGATGGGAGGAGGCAATAGTGTCTGGCTTCATCACTACCTGACGGTAGACCCCCAAGCGAGGATTACGACTTATTAGCATATGTCAATTGCATGAAAGTGGTAACTGGGTAATAAGAGATAGAAACAGAGATGGCTAAGACTAAGTTGCATGCTTTTAGTGGTAAAGTGCTCTAAAAGGTGGAATTCACAGGCAGCTTGGATCTAGCATAGTAAAAAGGTGGGTTTTGTGAAAGATTATTCATTTGTATTCATTTTCAAGGAAATACCATAGATAAAATGACATTTTCGAAAGTGAAGAACTCCAGACAAGCATAAACTTATCATACTCCCGTCATAAATTGTCCATGGAGGCTAACCCAATTTCACACAGAATGCTATCTGGAAAAAAGGCATATTCTAAAGCTGCATACAAAATTAGACCCAAAGTGTAGAAAAATTGCGGGATCGCAAACTAAAACACCATATGAGGAGGATTCGCGTACATAGTGGCACATAACAGGGCACGAGAATTTGCTGAACCAAATTTATTCAGCAAATGAACAGACCGAAAACGCCTCTACTTCTATAAGTTCGAGCTCAACCACAAAAAATGACCTTCCAAGTTTGGTCATAAATGTAATGTTTGAAGCATAATGTCTGTAATTAATCTCCCAAACTCATTCGCCACCGACCCTACGCAAGCTGCCTCCACAAAAAGGTGTGCCTAAAGCACCTTTCGAAATGCCCTTTACCCAATTTATCGAGCACCACTGAGAGTGGTAAAAATTAGAGACAACACCAACCTCTGACCCATTTTGCTAGCAGGGCGAACGTGGCGGACACAAGCATAATGCATGTATCGATAAATTAGGTACTCTCTGCCAAGAGTGCCTTCGTTAAAGAGGCAAGTTCGTTTCATCATGTACTGCATCCCCGTGGCATCTTCGAAGGCCTGCAGCTCCTTGCTGAACGCCTCGAAGGTAGAAAAGGCCTTACCAGCAAAATGCGACAAAAAGTCCTCTCGACAGTCATAGATAACTGGAAGCGCAATGGGTTGGGTGGTTCTTACTTCCATTGCATAAGAAGTGAATGCATTCGTTTGGCTCTTGCAGTGTCCCCCTGAAAAACGAAACGATATTAGGAAAAAAGTTTAAAAAAGCGTTGAAGCTAGAAATGCGGAAGAAAGTAAATTGAAATATATGAAACTTGACAACTATAAAGTGCGTGTTGTGAGTGCACAAAGTATTGGATAATGCACATAAAGCAGTGCAGAATCCGACTTGAAATCCTGATTTAAACACAAGCAAAGATACACGGTTGCTATACTTAAGGGTCCGATGCAGTGTTTGCGGCAAAAAAAGTATTTTGCGAGAACCATACTTAGTGAATCATGCGAATGAATAAATAGCCACTTTGATATGTGTACGCCCTTAAGAAGACGACTCAAACACACCAAAGGTGGACGACAAACATTTACGAGACAAACAGGAAATAAGGTAAAAAGAAACAAGAAGTTTCCAAAATAAAGGCACAGAGTTCTGAAAGGTTACAAAAAATCACATGTCAAGACTCAGTTGATGCAATGAGACCAAAGCCACGTTCAAATGTCGAATTTCAAAAAAAAGCTAATAAACTGAGGTACTAGCAGGCATTTACGTCTTAACAACAACATTTACGAATTTTTTTGCTTAAAAAAAACTTTCTAAGAATCAAGAAACTCAAACTGTGCCGATAATTTGCATCCTATTTAGTTTTCAGGCAGATCATAGTAAACTTTGTAACGTCTTAAGACTTTCTGAATGCAAAAGAAATTTCAATACTCGGGAAGAATATATATTTAGCTCAGAGAAGGTGTCCGGGCTATTGTCATGGCCCAAAAGGCCAGCCTACCTAGCGAGGTACAAGGGGGCTAACTCAAAGCAAAAGGTGGCCCCTCACCAGAACCAGGGGATAAACCACTATCGTACTACAACTTCATAAGCTTAAAAAACCCTTTATTTTTCATTGAAAATAACCGAAAGAACGCAGACATGACCGATATTTTGCAACTGTGCTCGGTGCTGCAGTTTAAGGACTTACACAGGTTTGGCAAATTAAAATATACAGAAAAACTAAAACGTTAATTTTTTTGTATTTATAAGTATCTTGAATAAATCTTTGTTAAGTAAACACAAGTTTCGAGTAGGTCATGCTAAATCACTTAACCCTCATAAAGCTCCAAATCCAGGCATGGGGTGCTTTTAATTTTAGTAACTACGTCCAGTAGACAATATATTGTTTTTCATAGTATTGTGCAACATGCATAACACTATGTTCAATACCCCATTTTATATTCGATGTTCTGTGCATTTTGATTTTTCTTACTAAGCCTTTATTCAGCTATTATTTCATCTCTAAACAATCGCTACACTTTTTATCATCATTATTAGACCAATGTTACAAACTATCTATATATAATAATACTGCCGATATTTTACCTTTCGGAGTTGGTGAATAGCCTGCTTCGCCTGTTGTGCATTTGCATAATGGCTCCTTTGTTAGGAAAAAAGTGTTCGGCGTGTCTCATGATTTTGGGTGTATGGGGCGTAATTATGCTTGTGAGTTTCGCCTATTTCACCACTTCTGGAGTAATCCTTTTTCCTTTTTGTTGGAGTTATGCTTCTTGTCTCATCCTGCTATTTTTCAGTGCTTCATATATGGTTTTAGGTATTTTGATTTTTATTTCTCCTGCAAATTTCTTTTTTTGAAGGTTCTTATGGGCGTGTTCACCCGTGTTAACGCCGTTGCGTTTGTTGATGACATCCCTATTGACATGAAGGAATGGGAGAGCACTAAATTTGCCCCCTCTTACATTGACGAGAAGTTTGCTATGGTCTCTACTAACTGCTTCATCGCCGCCGGTCTTTACCTCCTTGTTCTCGTTTTCGCTTCTGTTCAGTTCCACCTCAACACCCGTCATGGCTACTCAGCTCAATGAATCTCTCTTTTATTTCATTTCCTGCATAATAACTTCATTTCTTCTTTGTCCTCCCATATTCTGTTGGACTGTACTGTTGGCTGTTTCTCATAAACACTTATTAACATTTGTTATCCCTTTAATTCATGCTCTCTGGATATATCAATTCCCATCCTCTGTAAAAAGGCCAAAATTTCTCTTTACCTATTTGAAAAGAGGCGAAATTGTGCACCGTTGTCAATGATTTGCCTATTTTGCATTCTGTTTGTTTTTGTTGTTTACTTATGTGACCATAAGTAGGTTGGTGTTTGATTTAGCCACAGTGGTATTTTTATGTTCTGTGGTTGTGCCGGATGTTACTCCTTGAGTGATGTAGATGCTTCCTAGGCAGCAATGCGGAATGAATATCGTCTCGTTGGCACAGCCTGCTTTTTTTCCGCAAGGTGCACCTTTTTAGATGGCAATCAACTCTCCATTCCCAGCCGCCTTTGTTAGTTTCAAATGTGGGGCGTAGGTCGAAACGGTTTTGCAATTTCTAACTTTTTGCAGCTGTGTCCCGGTTTTTTACTGTCATCGGTGCAAGGCTTAGGACTGGAGCGTGTTTGATAGGCCGATGCGATTCTAAGGCCCCTCGTGTTGGTGCTCACCAGTTCAACCATCCATGAAGAGGGACCCCCTTAGACTTCAGCTTTCCTTGAAGCATTGATGGGAGCTTCCATGTGCTTGGTAAGGCGTGTACTGCATTGCCGCCTATGCGGTGCAATGACTACCTTATTAAATCATATGCACCTTAAAATATTTCCTCGTTTAGAGTTCTATGTGGTCAGAAGAAGTGCACGTATGTTTTTTGGCATGGCACACTGCAAGTACTTAAAATGTTAGTACTTTTAAGATGCATACACTGTAAGGCATGGGTGCGTGCGTGCTCACTGCGAATTGTCCACTTGCTGAAGGCAAACAACTACGAGTTAGATCTATCCGCTTAACTCTGCTAAATTCAAACCAGTGAAAGAATAGCCTCCTTGTCTTGGATAACATCTAGGACTAGTCACTTGATCAGTGGGAAGAAAGCTCTCTTGTGGCCCGACCATTTGTTTGGCCTGTGTAATTAAATGGATGAACTGTACAAGCACTTAACACACTATTTCTTTCCCCTACAGTATTTAGAAGTCCCTCAGCGTTCCATTGAGTGCGTTTCTTCCGAAATTAAAAAAATGAAAATTGTTGAAGTGTCCATTGTCACCTACGGCGGCGACATGACTCTCTCACCTCTTATATTTTCATAGAAATCGTTTTGGTATAACCCTAGAAGGTAACAAAGATGAAAGTAGGCAATTAGATACTACCTCTTAGGTGATGATTTTATCTTGAACTCATTGCCTACCCATTCAAACAAACCATTTATTTGTTCTTCCATTCTCCCAATCAGACTACCAATAATTCATTCAACAATTCAGATGCAGTTGCTTCACCTGACCCTCATTTCCTACTTAACTTTTGTCGTTTGTGTGGTTTCCGCTTCCACTACCGCATGGAGAGCCCTCCTAGAGTCCATCCACTGTGTTACATTTGGTAAAAGGATTTGCCTTCTCTAGATAAAGCTGGTTAACCGTTTAAGGAAATGCTTGCTTTCTTCACAAACTCCTTCAAACTAGTAACCGGTTAAATAGTTAAATATCAGTTCAATGCATTTGGAAGATGAATGTCCATCCTTGAAGAGTAGAGCTATCCAGCCAGTCATTAAAAGTGTACTTGCAAAACCGTCTTCCCTGTTTCTCCCTAATTAGAATTTTTGTTCACAAATTCCCAGATGTGTATTTCCGCCTACCGATTGAATTTACCGTGTTCCGTTTTAGGGGCTGGTGTGAACACCTCCTCACATCCAAATGGAGGTATTCTTGTCACGCCGCTAGTCTGACCTGGACACCAAATAGCCCATCATCAATGTAGAAGGCTGAAGGTGGAGGAACAAATTGTGGTAGCTGGAAGGTTCATGTAGGTAAATATGCAATTGAACAACTAGTTACTTCACCACATATGGTCTTCGAGGAGGTAGCTAACCTGGCCTCTTACCGCTCAAGATTCGATAACCGCGATTGGTTGGAATATTTGCCGAAAGGCAGAGCTACTTAAGCAAGGAACTACTGAAGCCATTAGCCCCACAAGAGCAAGATTCTGCACTCTGTCCCCATTCCCACGCTGGTAGTCCGTCCAGCTGAGTTCTGGGTTCTCTCGTCTAGTCAAGACGTGGAGATGGCGTCATTTGCTCACTTGATCCCCTGTATCGTTGCACGGACACCGCGGTCACCTTCATAGTGGATGTGTCTGAATGATTCACAACTGTTGTCATTTTGGCCATTGAATGTCTCCTCACGGAACCCGAGAATGTAGTTATTGTCCGAGGGGGAAGTGTTTTGAATTCATCCATCCGGTGTACTTCTATCCACTCTGTGCCCACCAATTTCTCTGTCTATTCATTTTTTCTTTTTGCACTCATCCCTCTACAATTTTAACAGCTTTCAGGAGTCCCAACTCGCATCAAGAAGGTAAGAGAAATAAGCAATCCGGTTAAGAGGGATGTAGATTTCCTTCAACTCGCGTGTATATGCACTGGCTAATAACAGCCCTCACAGTAGGCCTGCATAGCATATGTGAACTCAAAGCGCCCGAAAAAAAAAACAAATAATGACCTTTAAATGGTCAAACGAAAGCACTAAAAAGGAAGGCGTCTGAGGAGAAGGAGAAAAACGGGACGTATGAGGCTCAATTTGGGTAGCAAAGGAGAAGGAAGAGGAAGCGATGGGGCAGTTACGCTGTCTGAGATCGATTCTGCAGAGGCGTACAGAGATAGACGGTAGGGCTGTAATTCTCTTCTGCAATTGTCTAAAGGTCAGTCTCACCGAAGATCTTGTTGGAAAAGTCACTATAATCGAGAGCGCCGGGAACTGCACCGTTACCACTGTAGGGCTTCATCTTCTGCAGACAGTACTCCGCCTGTTCGGGTGGTAACTCGCGTTGAATCGTCTCCGCTGTTACGAAGGGCTAAAGTAAAGAAAGGATAACAGCGAAGGTAATTATGTCCTCCTCGTGGTGGAAACTTAGCCACTTCGGGATGGAGGACGCCAGAAAATTTCACCAGATCGTTGGGAACGCATGGAAAGGGTTCATTGTGGTGCGTCCGCTGCAACGGGGAGTGCTGAGGACAAAGCCCAAGGCAAGACGGAGGACTGCCCAACACATTCGCGAACACAATACCCTTGGCTTTTTTAAACCTTAAAGTAAAAGCCTGCAAGGCAAATGACAGAGCAAAAGGCATTCTTTTTCTTCTTTTTTACAACTCCAAGACCAAGAGGTAAAAATGACAAAGTTGTCCAATGAATCCGGATTATTACAAATTAGCTCCATCCGTCCAATTATGGCGTATGACCGACTTGATTGATGAGTGGACGCGCCACAGAGTTTTTTGCCTCATCACTAAGGTTTTGCGTCCCCAGTACCACCAATTTTTAATGCTTATTTGAGGAGGTATATGTGGAGTTCTGGCCTTCTGAAAGGTCATACCTTTGCTAACACCTACTTGATGTTCAAAGTTGAAAAATTTTTCCCCTAAGGTACACGAAAATTTGTCTAGCTACATACTTACAAAGGAGGGACTCCCCGCCCAGTTAATCGGTCACCAACTTTTCCAGACAAAATGGATGTCGGACAAGTGCAGACAGTCTGATGGCAAGGGAATACAAACGGTGAAGACGAGGACAAGGAGGAGGAAGAGAAGGAGGGATCTCAAACTGGAAATAGTCCTAGAGTGTCGCGTGAGCATGGTCTATCCTCGCGTTTCAGTGCAAACATTTACGTCTACACCGCATCACTTTATGCATCAATTAAATCAGAAAGGCTAAACTTTCCACCAGCCTTCCGCAGGGTTTTCTACGAGCCAAAAGAAACAACCTAGAATTGGTTCCAGGACATGCCATAGGAGGTTGCAACGGTTCACTTTCCTCTTCACTTATTTTTCCAGTAGAAAAGTAAGTCCCACTTTCCTTTATCTCCGACTAGGCATTCTGAACGGCGCCGGCAGCGTAGAATTCTCAAAAATGGGGCTTTGGGGCGAAAGGTGGGAGGCTGATGCGAATTTTTGAAGTCTGTCAAAGGTACGACTGAAAGGTTTCCCTCTTTGTTCTTGAAGGTGAGCCCACGATAAGAATAAAATAAGCTGAAGGTAGCTGCAGCGGAAATGCAAGTAATGAAGACCATTCTACGTGGTTTTCACTCCTAAAACGTTCCAAAACATTTGCAATTATCGACTTTGGTCACTTCTTCATGACTGGCTGGTATTCACGTGAAAGTGATTTACTTAAGGCCAGTAAGGCCAAGGCTAATCAAAACATTATAAGTACGCAAGAATGGGACAAATCTCCATGTCGTCAATAGCCGGCCAGTCCCAGCCAGGCAGCAGTCACGTACGCACACTCTGCGCCCCAGGCTCTCCAGATCTGTCGACAGTCAAGGCACCCATGTTGAAGTCTTAACTATTCCGGCCAGGAGGCACTTTTAAACGCATTAAGTTACAACTTTGGCCCCCTCAAGGATATGTCTTGCTATGTTGAAGAAAAGAAGGAGGTACACTGTAGATTCAATAAGCAACATCATCACCTCCTCCAGAAATCAGCAACGCATCGAGGCGCATCACTAATTGTTCAAAAGATTTGTTAAATTAAGCAGAATAAGAGTTGTATCTCTCAGCTTTAGTATTTAGGTTAGGATAGTTTTCAATCTCTCACACCATTGTCTCTACACGTGGTAGACTGTGCCCCACCCATTTTACCGGTCACATCGCTCCTCGCCCCGCCTCTGTTGGAACGCAACTGTTGCTGGAATGGTGGGGAAATGAAAAAAAGGATGCAACTCTACCCTCCATTTTGGAGGCATCTTAATATTTCTTCTCACTTTAACCAAGGACAGTGACTACGTAGGCTCACTCTAAAATGTCCCTTATAACACCTTCAAAGGTAGCTTAAAACCTTCATTTGGTACACCGCTTTTTGGGGCATATTCCAAACGATGGGGCTGTTCCACCCCACAGCGTCCACTACTTCAGCATTCCCTATTCATTTCCCCCTTTCGGTAGAAAGTAACTGCATTGCCGCTGCCAGCCTTGCTTTGCTAGTCTTTGTATAAACATCTGTTGGGAGAGACATATCAGTATCACAAAAAAGGGAAATAAATTGTTCAAAAAAGATCATTTAACTACCCAGCTTTTCCACTCCCTGCACCTACACCGGTGTCAGAGGTAAACAAATCCGATACCAGTAAAGAAAAGTATCCAGATATCATCTTGTTACTAGACAGAAAGAAGTTATTTATAGTGGATGATTATTTCGGTAGACTCATTCAAAGAGGGGTAAGCCAGCGGTTGCTTCATATAATACTCGATTTTGAGGTCTACAAAGTGACCACGGATGGAACAAGATCAGATTCGCCAAGTCATGGGATGTGCCTGCTGAAGAATACTTGCACTTCTTCGTACTCCCTATCAGATAAGTTCGACCCTTACATAGTCCATCCTGCAGAGGACGCATTAATCAGGAAGGCGGATCAGACCTACACCTTGTATTACTACCAAAAGGTGACATTCTCCCTCCCCCTCCCCCTCCCCCTTCTCCCTCGGTTCATCACCAATCCTGTCTCGCGATTGGCTACAATTTACAGTATGACTTAAAATGACCCAGAGAGAAGGGTAGCCACGAGGAGAGGAAGATGTACCGTTTAACTACGCGGTTACTTGAGCCTTTGGAGGTCACACAAACACCCTTCTGGTCATACACATAGCCTCCCCGCTCTTTCCCATTAGTCCGCCTTAGTTTATTTAAGTCTGGAAAGCCTCAAATGCTACAAATTTTTCCTGTTAAAAAGGCCAGTCGACAGTTTCAGCAAAAAAAAAGAAAATTTAAATGACTGGTGACTTTAATTTCTTTTTTCTTGTTCAATCAACAACAGGGCTGCTTTCGGCAGTGTTCATACCCACCACTCTAGCACTGGCATGACTTACTACCACTTGAGAGGAGAGTGTGAACGCTACCTTCGTGACAATGGCAAATGGATCTGGTCTGAGAGGACAACTATCCTAATTCCTTTGGCCCATCGCCACATCCTAACGTTACACAGACAAGGCACAGTGTAGAAGGGCCATTAAGATCGCCTCCCCTTTGGCCAATAACCACAATCTCGAGTTTCATGAGAAGGCCTTCAGCGACCGAAGTGACAACGGTTGTTAAACATCCAGCAGCATCCACTATGGAGGTGACTGGAATAAAGTAAACAAATGAAGCTATCTGCATATATCAACTGGACAAATGGAACCTTGAACTTAGAACGCAGCTGGACGGAAAATCAGCGTGGGAATGGGAAGAGAGTGACAAGGAGAAGCAGGTGTAGAATCCTGTTTTCTTTCTCTCGCCCCACTGCAAAACTGTGGACACGCTAATACAGAAGCGGTGCTTCTCGGGCTATGGATTCAAATGTTGTTTCAATTTCGGGAAAAAGCAGTGATTGCTGCTTCTAGCTCATGAGTATGTAATGTTGAAAGCCTTGAACACGTTGTAATGGCCGAGAACGAATGGGATCGTGAGGAGAGTCGTGAATTATATGATGACCTGACAAGATATTCACGATTCATCCTTCCTCATTTAGTCTTCAAAGCACTTAGTGAATTAATAAGAAACCTTCGCGCTTAACTCCAGATAAGGTGTTGGAATGCTTCTCGTCATTAATTTTTAGAAAAATAAAGTAACTTTGAGACACTCAATCATCCATTAAACACTTAATCACGTTCGCACCACTAATCAGGAATGCAATAGGTGATAAATGGTCAGCCGGACGTGCAGCATAACAAAAAAAATACTTCAAAGATAAAGTTTTATCGTCCGTTTTCCATTATGTGGACAAAAAACGGGTCCTTCATTCATATACCATATCCACTGTAATACTTTAATGTGAAGGGACGAAAAAATTTATATCCTATTTTAGAGAAAGGGATAAAACCTCAGCAACCAGGAGGACATTCACTCTTTCTAACTTAATGACGAATAGAATCCATTCCGACATCAAAATAGTTTCCTAACTTTCTGCACAGTGGGAATCGGTCAGTTAAGTGCAATTTCGTGGACATTCCTCACGGACAGAAAATAAAAGACTTCAAGGAGCTGCACAACTGCAAAGCCCTGCACCGAAATTGCCAGTGCTGA